GTATTTTTTTAAAAATATTTCAACAAAGTTATTAATTTCTTTTTTACGTACTAATGATATACGTAAATTTTCTGGTAAATTATACTTAAATTTTAATTTTTTAAGGTTGCCCATTGATACCAACATATTTTAAATAAGGATCCATAAGATATTCTAGTTCTAAGCATTTTTTTATTCAAAAATTCCAGCTAAAACAAGTTTGTAAATGTGATGACTACAGGGTAAACATAATAAACCTTTTTCAAGCCTTTGTTTAAGAACTGCAGCACTATTTATACTTCCTAAATTAGTATAAGTAATGTCACAGCATAATGCTTTAATTTTTTTAGTCCAGCCCCAATCAGCCCAAATGGGAGTGAAATTAAAAAAGTTATTATTGAAACGCAAATAATTACTTTATTTTTGTGAGATTAGTTAATAAATCTTGTACATTTTTTTTTATGTATGAATGTTTTGCATCGTTTGAAAAAAAATTTTAAGTAGTTTTGATTGATAAAAAAGGAAAAAAATAGTAAAAAGGTAACTGCTTTTTTTCATTAAATATTGATCAACATCTATTCTTAACACTAAAACCCAAGGATTGAATCTGCCAACCTGAGAGTTAAGTCTTAGTTCAACAGATTTTTGAAAATTTTTAATTGCATTTAAATTTTTGAAAGGCCGAGTATGATTTTACTATATCATTATTCTTATTGTTGTTATTCTTGTCAATGTTGTTAACAAACATACATTCTTATAATTCCTAAATTTACCTTATGGATAGTTTAATTCGATTTCATGTTCAATTCCTGTTATGTATGCCGTTGGATTGTGAGACATCTGATCTAAAAGGAAAGTCTTCTTTTCTTCATTAATAAGATTAAAAGTATTTCCATACACAATATTAAATATCAATTTTAATTTTCAAGTAAATTTCTTTAATGAGCTATTTGACGGATGCTTTTATTATCCTATTGGATGTTCCTACATTTTGCATACAGATTTTGTATTTCATCATAAAATCCATCAAATTTCTGAGTTGAAATATCAGCTTTTTTCCAGAGTTGGAAAGCTTTTTTTACTACTAATTTATAACTATTTTTTATAGACAGATTGAAATTTCTTTTGTGAAAAAAAACCCTTTGAACACTTTCTCATAACTAGGCAGTCGATTTCTAATAATCTGTGACATTATATTACCAATCAAACATATATCTTCTGATTTACTTTCAACTGAAATTTTAGTCAGTCAAATTTTATTGACTAAAAATAAAACCTGTAAAAAAAGTAAATATAATAATTTTTTGATAATCATAAAACATTTGATTTATTTTGAAATAGATTTATACTGATATTATGATTAAATAACCTAATACTCATTAATAAAGTAACGATAAAAGTGTATCTTTTATTTTTTTTTCACGTTGTAAGCAATGAAAAAATCTAAAGATTGTGATCACATTTTGGATGATTATTTTATAGCGGATTTTTTCGCTACCTTTAAGCGTCAACATAACTGTAGTGGCAGTTTAGGTATATGGTTATAAAAAAAAAATTGATCTCTATAAATTTCATTCATGCATATTCATGTGTCTTGATCGCTGTGTATGAAAAGTGAAAAAAAATTCTAATCTTAAGTATATTACGCTGAAATTTTAAGGTTTGATGTTGGAACTAATAAGTGCTTTTTAGTATTCAGGCGAAATTAGCATATCTTACTAATATATAGAGCAAAGTCGCTAAAATCGTTGTAATCGCTAACCTCAAAAAGCTCAAATCAATCGCTAACCTAATAAGCTCAAAAATTTGCTAAAATAAGCTGGCTTTGCGCTTTAGTTCAGTAGGATCCACTAGGTGGGGTCAAGGTAAACTTGAGGCCACCTGCAATCAAAGATGGTGAAGAGTGATCATAAGATGCCCCATGAAGTTGTCGATTATCGCAGTCGTTTATCGGCAGTACATTAAGAACAGAGCTATTAGTCGTGCAGCTGGGCATCCCAGCTACCGATGACACTTTTCTTTCATAGGCAAGCAAAATAACTCGGTTTTTATTCTGGATCGCCAAGATAACCGAGTGCAACAGAAAAATAGGCGTTCGGAACGTCAACGTCTCCGGGGGAATACCAGGAGAGGTGTCTAGCCAGATCATATCCTGCTCTAACACTTGAGAGTTTTGTGGCTGTTCAACCATCTGTCCTGGAGCCGTCAGAGAATTTTCTACTTTAAATGCAAGCCAGAGAAGACAGCCCTGAAGAGTACGGGCAACTACAACGGCCTTCTCTTAGTGGTCGTCCCAATGGCATACCTACAGAGAAGGTATTCTCCAGGCCCACTTTCCCGACAAACAGTGAGTGGCCGGTTATTCGGGGAACGACCCAAAGACGAGATACTCTTTGGTCAGTGGCGGCGGCGTATCTCCCTTCTGTGCGGTCTCCATACACATAGACTCCGAGTGTAAGAGTCAAGCTACCCACAGCCAGTTCTTCATCATCAAGAATAAAAAGGAATAGCTGGAAGTTTTCAGGACCATTATGAGTATTTACGTTCACTACTTAACCATCAATCGCATCGGTTTTTTTTTAGTGCTACCTACCGTTAAACAACCTTGCCGACAAATGCATTTTTACTACCCGATTTGTCGATTACAAAACTATATAAATATAAACCAAGCCACTAAAACTTCAAATGCATCTAATGAAATACAATCACATTGGTGTTGTTGAAATAATCATTAAGTGAATGTAAAATTACTAATAAATGAAAAAACAAGCAAAAAACTAGGTGAAAACTTATTTATACATGTTTACAATGCATTAAAAATTATGCCTTTACTATAGTTTTCTACAGTGAATTTAGTCAATAAAGGGGATACTCCTTTTAGTGAGAGATAAGCTTTTCACTATAACCCTTATAGTAATCTCTTGAATCTTACAGATTTTTAAACAGGCAGAATATGTATTTGTGTTTTTGTGGCGATAAAAAATGTAGAGATTAAGCTCCAGCACTTAGTTGCTGTGGTAATAAAGTTATGTGATGAGAGAAAAGAATTTTTTTTAATTACAAATTTGTTGTGAGTTTTAAATCTTTGCAGCTTTAAAATTTAGCCCTGTTCATAGATTATACGGATAAAACTGCAAATCAACGGCCTTTTAGGGCCAACGATTAGTTTGTGGCATAAGGAATACACGGTACTTTTCAGCATAATTATGTTTCTTTCACTTTTTAGAGCTTTTTTCTTGACCGAATAAACTGTATTTATTCTGAACAAGTATGTTTTTAATAAGAAGATTTTTGTTTTGAGAAGTGTCAGAAATAGATGTAAAATTTTTAACTGGAAAATTTCACATTACATGTCAACACACTACGGTATTCCATTTAGTGAGTCTCGGGCGAAGCCGAGACGAGGGGCCACTAGTCTAAACATGTGTTAAAATATTAGTAAATTGATATATTTTTTGGTCGCAAATGTAGCATTCCTTTCAAAAACTAAATATTGTTCATCAAAACGTATCAACTGATATGTTATAATGTTTCACATACAAAGAATAGGATAAAGAGACGTTCTTAAAAATAATTAGGGCTCTACAATAGTTTTGTCAAGATTTGCGTGAGGGTAGTAATACGGTAGTAAAAAAAAAATGTGTGTTTAAATAAATGATTACGGCAAATTATATATGTATAATAAGCCAAACATATACTTTGCAGTAATAAAGTTAATTATCTATTCTTAAAAAACATTTTAACAACTAAAATAGTGAGTAATATTTTATTTTTAATAACAGTCGTCGTACTCTCTTTCAGTTTCAGTTTCTGAATCAGTCATATCATTACTATATCATAAGCTGAACATATATTAATGAAATTTAATCTTCCTAATATTGACGACAAAGCTCAGTTAATACTACTTGATTTACCTTTTACCCTAAAAGTATCCATTTCACTTTATTTAGATGAGTTGTATTGCAAGCATATGCTGACTTATAAATTCAGCATTCAATAAAATTCTACAAGCATGGTGGCAGTTTTAGTACATAGTTGTTAGAATAATTGTTTCTTTCTGTATCAATTTGTTTTATGCGCTTTGATGAAGTTATACAAATTCTTTCTTTTATACTTTCTTATGCACATTGATCAGGAGGTTCTAATTTTCATGAACAAAATCTATAGAGATACATTTTCTATTATTAACAACCATATATTACAAATACAACCACGCTAGTAGAATCGTATTGTTACGTAAACCCCAGCTCAGACCATACGTATGTACTAGTATTGAAGACAATAGTATGTGGAAAAAACTGATTACGTACTCTTTTCAATGAAAAAACTAATTTATTCTGTAACATAAAAAATTCATGATTCCATTAGCCACAATGAATCGGAAATTTTATGAATTACGAGTCTTACCTTAAATTCGTTATAAAAAACTTGAAAAATTACAGCTAAGTACAACAATTATTATCAAGTTGTTTTTAAATTCTGGATTTTTCGTCAAGCATAAATGGGATCGGCTATTTTAAATTCACAAAAAATAACCTCGTATTCGTAATCAGCGACCCTAAAATTTCTCTTTGATTAGTTTCAACAAAATTGTGTTGACAACTTTTAAAAATTGTATTCATTTCTAGAAATTTTTCCAATGTTTATAACAAATTGTAATTGTTTATAACAACATTACCCATTGCCTATAGTTTTCTTGTGTTTCAAGCTCAAGCCTCTGTAAGATGACAATAATCATAGTGATATCTTTGTCCTGTCTCAAGCATTGTGATTTTGAAAAAAAAATTTAAAAAAAAAATAAAAAATAAAAAATTTGCCAACTGTACAGTAGCGAATAGTGCAAGAGCCATATTGCTACAACAGCAATGTTTACGGGGCAGAAAAAGCATCACCCGCGGTGCTGCGGCAGCATGAACATTTTTCAGCCAACTAGCTATGTAAAATAACAACTGCAATTCGTAGGCAATAGGTCTGAGCCTACGAATCATTTAATACTAAAATGAAAACAATTAAAAACTTACATTTGCATTTTTAGTCCTTTTGGGGCAAAATAACGTTTTTGTTTGATATATCATCAGGTCAATATCATGATTAAGAGTTAAAAGAATTTTTTCAGGTTATATTGACACTCAATGATTTCCAAAAAAATTCCACTCAAATTTAGTCATTTAAAGTGTAGTAATAAACTTTTTTAGATTTGTTCGTTGATTAAAATACGAGGAACAAAATAAAGGACGAAAAACGGTGTGCTGGGCATTCATGTAAGAGCCTGTGACCCACTTTTACTTTTATCATCAATTAGTTTTATTTCTAATGCGTACCACGATTTCACAAAATCTCTTCTACCAGGCCAATGCTGCTCACATAACATAGGCAAAAACCCGTTGTAATTTGGAGGCCTGCTTCCTTGATCTTTTGAGTTTGTAGTTGTTACCGTCAATACGCCAACCTGCAGAGATAAGTTATATTAACAGGATTAGCAGAGACACGGAACAAATAAAAATATGAGAGTATGCGTGTAATTGTGGATATATTGTGCTTGAAACAAACAACATACAGAGTATGTGAATGCGTATGCTACAACAGCAATGAGAAACGTTACCCTTGCCAGGGTTGGATGGTGAACAATACAAATCCCAAGACTTAGAGAGTGCTCCGAAAGCTAATTTTCGTAAACACAAAAGTGACTTTTTACCTGGCTTCTTGGGAGCTCCGGGTGCAAGATTTCATGGGTTGGAGGAGAGCCAGACGTTGGGGCTCGGGTCTTTTATCGGCTAAGTAGTCCACGGTGGTTTCTGAAGGTCTCTGAAGCAGGAAAACGTAAGTCACTGAAAAAAGAATAGCGTAGTTGTGGACAAGCACTGCTTCTCAGAAACTTTCACTTACATATAGCGCTCTCTGTTGCAGTTGCTGGAATTCTCGGCCCTACCACATTCTCTCCTTTTCTCTCCTTTTCTGTATCAAATCAAATAAAAAATCTCTTGGTGACAGCATAAATACATTTATTCCTCTAACTTATTTAAAAGAAAAAAAAATTGAAGTTAATAATTTAAAAAGGAGTTTCAAAATACGATCTTATTGAGTTAATAAGAAATAAAAAGTATTAAAAAAAAAAAAAAGAATTGCAAATGCAAAATACTGTTGATAAAAATTAAATGAAACCTTTTGCAATTCATATTTTTTTCGAATTTAATGCCCTCTGTTTTTAATTTTTGAGTTCACTTCACAAAATACAATCTCTACAAAACGTTCTCACAACTTTATGCTGGCAGAAAAAGCAAGCGTCTGTTGCGTTGTACATGAAAAACAATATATGTAATTAACATTGATTGGCCAATAAACTTCTTTTCACGCACTCAAAATTCTGCTACTTTTAATTAGTTAAAACTAATAATGAAAAAAAAAAATTTGCATAATGTTTTTGTGGAATAATTTATTATTATCAAAGACAAGTACTTCTGTAAAAAAAAAATTTGTTTGTCGGAAAGTGCGTTAAAATGATCGAAAAATTCTACTTATTCTCACACAGGCAGACATAGGTAGATAAATAGACAGACACAACAAGTTAAATAGAAGTGTTTACAAAAATTCTTAAGTACAATTGTATATTTGACTTTATTAAACTCCTGTAGAGGTCAGACAGAACGCTAAATTTGCATAAATTAATCAAAAATGGCACAAGACTTGATTTTTGATCCGTTATACATAAAGTATAAGCCAAACTGAATTGAAATGCGGATACTCCACTGAATATTAAATAAGAAGAACTAGATCCGGAAGCTCAAAAGGATAGAGAAATTCAGATAAACATATTTAAATGTAATTTCATTCGATTCATATTTTAAAAATCTGTTGTATTTGTTTGGCACGGTTTAAAAAAATTTTTTCACGGTGAATCTGTTTCCCTTTAACATATAATATATCATAATCATCGTAAATTTATACGGACATCGTTCCTAATATTTTAAGTAACATTACTTTTTAGCAAGATTTCCTATCACCCTTCATCGACCTCAGAAATACTTGAGTATTTACTTTGAAATACAAATAATGAATAATCAATTTGTTTGTATAAATAATAGTACGATCGAAATAAATGTATATTAATTCTATTTTAATTTGTATGAAACTATAAGGTTTTTGGTGCACTAAGCTGTTTTTTAATAATATTGGAGATGAACTATGAGAAGAACTTTAATTTTTTATTTTTCTTTGTATGATATGATACTAATATACACATCAATCAAACGAACACTTTATTATACAATAATACAAACGGTGAAAGTATTGCTCTATTCAGAAGGTTCATTGTTATGGCTTAACTTACAGAACTAGTCAAGTGATTTGATCAATATTTATTGTGCTGTTAGATGTGTACATGTTTTTAAGGAAATTTTTTATTATTTGTATTTTAAGTAGACTAAAATGAAATGACAATGATCTTTTTATTTGAAGGTGAAAAAATAAAAAATAAAAATATCAGGATTAGGAAATGTTATAAATATAGAGGCTACATGCAAACAGTTTCGTATTATTCCACATACTTTAAGCAAGAACTGACTTATGTTGCCTTAATACGTTTTTCATGTGAATATGATGTGATAAAGAAATGTATTTGTTATCATCCGAAGAAGCATAGAACAACAAATGACACTAAAGGCTGGCGCACGAAGTGCGCAGGGAGGCAGAGCTCTACTAGCATAATATATATTTGTGTTGAGTGGAAGTGACTTACCCAGAGTTTACGTACTTAAAAAAAATTTATTTATCACATGGTCGAATTATGCGGAACTCCTAATACTCCACACACACACATTCACATACACACACACGCGCAGACGCACGTTTAGGTGTTTGTGGTTCAACCCAGATATCCCAAGGAAAATATTGAGAGATGTATCATTGTATCTACAAACTATGATAGTTTATTCAACTATGTGTCATGTTTAATATTGCTTGGCTTCTCTAAATCAGGAATCCAAATTTGTCGTTGTATCATATTTTTATACTATTATTGAGCTGCATTTAGTTAACTTTGATTTATATATTTTTTAAGTGAAACTTCTATATCTACGTATTGGAAATTTAGTGGTGAGTAAAACAAACTGATGCAACGCAACAGTGTCCATCTGGTTCTTGGCAGCCAGGGGAGAGTGGGGAGCGGGGGCATGGGAGTATCGCGCATGTGCATCAGAGTAAATATGTGGCGGGGAGAGAGAAAGAAAAAAAGATAGAGAGAGAAAGAGCAAGCGCATGCGTCTACAGAAATAAGTATATACTAATTTAGAAGCCAATATATTATATAGCAGAAAGTCGGAGCGTGTGTATGTATGTATGCATGCACGAAGAAACTCTCTCTGTTTGGGAGACGTGTGAAGCTGGCGACTGTAAATATTAAATATTCATATTTTGCAACCGTTCGTGACTTTACCTATTCTTTCTGACTTGCGTACTACTTTTCCACTTAAATTTTCATTTGCGGATCAATAGTTTGCGAGATATTTGCAAATTAAAAAGTCGAAAAAGAAAGTCGCGGCGCCGAAGTATAAAAACCTCAGTTTTAAGTACCAACTAACATTACAATTTAATTCTACCTGTACGATTCGGTTTCTTAGTACTTGCAGACTACGGAGGTGTATCAAGTAATGTAATTAAATGTCACAAATTTTTTAAATAATGAATTTTAATTATTAAGTTAAAAAATGTCGTAAAGAAAAAAGAAATATAATTATATTTTTTCCTTCATTTTTTTTTTAACTCGTTAGGAAAGCAGTGGATTCAGAATTGAGGAATTTAAGTACAGAGTATTTTTTAATTAAATTTTTGGGAGTAAAATACGAATATAAAAACACGTGAGTTCCAAAATACCTGGTAAGAGTATAGCTCTTGTTACCATAAATAAAACTACATGTAATAAATGGGAATAAAATCAACAGAAATAATAAATAACTATTTTTATCAAACTTACTAAAAATTAACTACTAAAAATGTAAAGCAGCCTTTAAAAAAATATATACGTTGTAACCCAAAATAAAAAATTTATTCCTTGTTCTGTTAGTAACAAATCCAATGGCTTTGGAATTCTGGCATTTATAAAGTACTCTTTAATTTAATTTTTATTTAAAAATACGTATACTAAGGTAAAAATACGTGAGTTCAGAAATACCTAAAAAGAGCATAGCTTTTGTCATTTAAAATTCAATTGTATGTAATAAATTTACGTAAAATAGGACTCTATGATAAGAAGTTATATTAAAAATATCGTTTGAAAAATACGTTAAATGTATTTCTCATCGGTAGGGATTCAGAGTGTGACTCGTTAACTCATTTAAAATGTTTTTTTTTTTTTTTCAACAACTGTTATTATAATAGCATGACTACATATGAAACAAATTAAGTAAATGAAAGTGATCTACTGGCGAGGCTTTTTTTAAAAATATACTATTTGAATTATAAGATTTATAGAAAGTGCACGTAATACTAAACGATATTTAAAATACCGAGTTCAATAACTCACTAGTTAGAAGTTTCACTTCTGCTGAAGGTCCCGAGATCCACACCTGGTTTTTCATTTTTTCTTTTCCGTAGAAAATAGATTTTTTATTTCGTTAATTAAAATTATTTTTATAATGTAATTTAATTACTTATAATTTTTCGCTATCATATATTCCGTTTATTTTAAATTCAAAATTTTAACGTGACTCTTGATCATTTTTTTGTTCAATATGAAGGTTTTTTTAACAGATGTAATATTTTAAATCTGAAACTAACTTCTTACGTTAAATTTCTTAAGTAAAAGTATCAAAATGAAAAACTTGACTTTGGTACTTTTAATTGAAAATTAATTGCCATTACGTCAATTTTGTATCCCTTTCTTTATTCTTTATACATAGAAAATACATTTTGTAGTTATTTCTTTTAAATGTAAGGTGATTTTCATAAATATTTTATTAAATTTTGATATTCATCATGGCCAAAATCTTATTATAAATGTATGACTTCTTTTTTTGAACCCCTAAATTAAAAAGATTGATATGATTAAATTAACTTTGTTATTTTAAATTGTAAATTGCATCATTTTTTTTGCAATACATTTGTTTGAAATGTAAAAAAACCAAATAATTTAATATACAACTTTATGAAGAGTCAAAAGTTTCCATCATGAAATAACTGCTGCTTAATGCATTTTTTCGTATTAACCCAAAAGTGGTAACACTACTTTACTTTTGCAACAATTTTCAATTTTTTCTTGACTACAATAAACTGCTCAACAATAGGAACATATATACATGGTGAAATGAGGAAAAAAAAGCAATTGTAATCAATACTACCATAATAATTATATACGTATTGGTTGAAAAGATTTGTTTTACTGTTATATATAAATTTAAAAAAAAATTTACTACCCAAATTCGAATCATTCTTACGTTTTTTGAATATTATTAATTTTTTTTAATAGTAATAGGATAAAATGATTAAAGCTTACACTTCTCTTGAATGATATGAGTTTTAACTAACACAAACATACACAAACAACTTTAAACATAAATTTTAGAGGGAAATGAAAATTGTCACTACACATTTTATTATCTTGTTTACATTTTTGACATGTTAACCATCTTCAAACATTGACATCAACGACCTTTTTGTTCATTGAACGCTTGGCTGCTTTAATTAATTAAATAATATAATTTTTAAAATTCTGTTGGGTTCTCAGTAGTTAAAATATTTTATTTTTGGCGTCGGTAGAAATTGATAAGGAAGATATTACTTAAATAAGAAGGAGATGGAGATGGAGCTACATGTATCGAGGGGTAGGTGAGAGGTAACATAGCGGAGTTCATTCGAATATTATAAGATTAAAAATCGCATGACAATAAACAAACAACCATTCAAACTAAAGGGGAGCTAAACGCATATCGAGAAAAGCTGATACCTACTTTTGTCTGTACACC